GGTCCAGGTAGTTTCACTGGGGAATTCTATCAAATGTTTAAGGAAGGATTACCATCTATTCCACATGATCTGTTCTAGAAAATACAAAATAACACACTCATAGATACAAACAACAGGGTAGTGGTTACCAGAGTGGAAGGTGGATGGGGGTGAATGAAGAAGAGGGTAAAGGGGGTAAAAATATGTGGTGGCAGAAGACTAGACTTTGGGTGGTGAGTGCACGATAAAGTATAGAGATGCCCTATTATAAGGCTATACACCTGGAATTTATAATGTTATTGACCAGTGTTACCCCAATAGATTTAATTAAAAACAGAAGAAAATAGGTGGTGAGAACACTTCCCGATTCATTTTGTGATGCTGGTGTTATCCTGATACCCAAACCAGACTAAGATAATACAAAAAAGGAGAACTACAGACCAATACCCCCTGTGAACACAGATGTAAAAATTCTTAATAACATATTAACAAGTGGAATTTAGTAATATATAAAAAGAAATATATGCTGTGACCAAGTTTATTGCAGGAATGCAAGCTGGTTCCATATTTGAAAACCAGTCAGTGTAATCCACCATATCAATGGGCTAAAGGAGAGAAGTCACACAATCATATGAATTAATACAAAAAAATTTTCCATAAATTTAACACCCATGTATAACAAAACTCTTAGAAAAACAGGAATAGAGGAGAACTACCTCAACTTGATAAAGAGCATCTACAAAAAACAAATGTTTAGCATTACACTTAATGATGAAAGATTTGAATGCTTTCCCCTTAAGACAGGAAACAAGATCAAGATTTCTGCTTTTACCATTTTTATTCAACACAGTTTAGTGCTAGAAGTTACAGCTAGTGCAATATGGCAAGAAAGGAGATAAAAGATACAAAGATCAAAAAGGAAGAACTAAAACTATTTCTGTTTGCAGATGATATAATTGTTGTGCAGAAAATCCCAAGGAATCTACAAAAAATCTAGAACTAATAAGTGAGTTCAACAAGATCACAGGACACAAGCAAATAAACAAAGAAAATAACATTTATATTTCTATGCTAGCAATAAATATGTGGACACTATTTTATTGAATTAAAATACAATATTATTTATAATCACTCAGGGAAAAGGAAATACTTAGAAGTAAATCTAACAAAACTTTTATGACTTGTACACTGATAACTACACAGTGCTATTGAAAGAAATAGATGAAGGTATGCATAAATAGATATACTGTGTGTATAGATAGGAAGATTTGATGTCATAAAGGTGTCAATGCTCCCCAAATTGATATACATTTAATGCCACTCCTATAAAAAAACCCATCAAGATATTTTGTAGACATAGGCAAGATTATTCTAAATTTATATGGAGAGGCAAAGGAACTAGAATAGCTAAACAAATTTTAAAAAAGAATAAAGCGGGAAGAATCACTCCAGTAGATCTCAAGACTTACATAATACATCAGTCAAGGCTGTTTGGTATTGGTGGAAGAATAGACACACAGAACAATAGAATGGAGCAGAAATGGCCCATTCTGGGTTCTAGAATAGAACCCAGAAATGGCCACACACAAATGTGCCCAATTGATTTTTGACAAAGGTGAAAAAACAATTCAGTGGAGAAAAGACCATTTTAATCAAACAGTGCTGGACATCGAGGTCAAATAAATAAATAAACCTCAAAAGTCCCAGGCCTTTTACAAAAGTTAATACAAAATAGACTGCAGACTTAAGTGTAAAGTGTAAAAGCATACAGCTTTTAGGGAAAAACAGGAGATAATTTTCAGGACCCAGGGCTAGGCAAAGAGTTCTTACTTAGACTTGATACCAAAACCACAATTCATAAAAGAAAAAAATGATAAATTGAACTTCATTAAAATGAAAAACTATTGCTCTGCAAAGGACCCTGTTAAGAAGATGAAAGGAAAAGCCACAGGGTGGAAAAAATAGTAACAAACCACACACTCTGTCTAAGGACTAGTATCTAGAATATATAAATAACTCTTAAAACCCAACAGTAGAAAAACAATCTAATTAGAAAACTGGCAAAAAAAACATGAAGAGGATATAGAAATGGCAAATAAGCATATGAAAACCTAATGATGTTCAACTTAATTAGCCATTAGGGAAATGCAAATTAAAAATATCTAGCAGAATGGCTAAAATAAAAGATAGTGCTCATACCCATTGCTGGTAAGGATGAAGAAAAACTGGGTTCTTCAGATCTGGGGGTGGGACTATGTGGGGACCCAAAAAAACAGAATTTATTTATTAAAAAAACTGTGTATTTGTTCTTACATGTTTAAACTTCAGTCACCCTCCAAGTACTCTCTATTTGATGCAATACACACATTGAGACTTTTTTCCCACTGCTCAAAACAGTTTTTGAACACATCACTTTTGATGCCTTTTATTGCTTCTGCCATTTTTTGTTTCATCTCTTCCACATCAGCAAAATATTTCCCTTTGAGGACTTTTTTCATTTGGGGAAACAACAAATAGTCATTCAAGATGAGATGGGGTGAATAGGGAGGGTGGGGCATGGGGTCATGTCATTTTTGGTCAAAAACGGCTGAACACTCAGCATGATGTTGGCAGGTGCACTTGTAAGTCACCCATCATGAAATGGGCAAACACATTGAAAGAGTCTTCAAAAAAAAATTCACTGAAGCTGAATGTAGCCTCTTACAACAATGCCAGCTGGTACACAGATACAGATGGGTTCCTAGAGCACTCACCTTGCTGGGGAAGCCTCTACTACAAAGGGCAGGCCCTCCAGAAGATAATTTTGGGGTTGTTTTGGATCCCCCCTCGTATGATGGTGCAGCTACTCTGGAAAACAACATGAAAGTTTCTTAAAAAATGAAATGTGCCCAGCAATTGGATTTCTGAAAATTTATCACAGAGAAACAAAGACTTGTGCCCACAGAGAAACCTGTATATCAATGAGCATATTTTTTTGTGGAAGCCCCAAACTGGAAACAATTTCATGTTCTTTAATGGGTGAAAGGTTAAACAAATTGTGTCACATCCATACCATGGAATATTACTCAGTAATAAAAAGAAATGACCCTTGGTGCATGCAATGACCTGTATGAACCTCTAGAGAATTATGTTAAGAGGAAAATATCCAATCCATAAAATGATAGAAGTGATGAACAGATCAGTTGTTGCCAGGAGTTGAGGAGGTATGTGGTGGGTAAGGATGGGTTAGGAGGGGATGGTTAGGAGGGGATGGTTAGGAGGGAAAGGGCAACATGAAGGGTTCTTATGGTGATGGCATGTTCAGTATCTTGACTGTACCAGTGTCAATATCCTGGTTGAGATCTTGTACTATCATTTTACAAGATGTTACCATTAGGAGAAACTGCAAACAGCACATGGGACCTCTGTGTTGTTTCTTACAGCAGTATGTGTATCTATAATTATCTCAAAATAACAAGTTTAATTCAAGTTAGTCTATACCCCTAGAAAACCCAAATTGAAATATTTACAGATGTAATGCCTGGAATTTGCTTTTAGATAATCCAGACTGGGGAATGGGAAGGTGAGGTGAGAAAGTGAAAAGGTGTAAATAGATGCTTGTTGGGGCTAGATAACAGGTGTGTGGGATTTCTTAACATTGCATATTACATGTGTTCTCAAGCACAGAGCTATGGGCATCAGTGCAATGGTGTAGTTAAGCCACTGACTTTGAGACGATTGGAACTGGTTTGAATCTTGTCTCTGCCACTTATTAGTTACAGAATCTTGGGCAAGTTACCTAACCTCTCTGAGCCTCAATGTTCTCATCTGCAAAGTGGGGGTAATATCTCATAAGGGACAATGTCCAGTGAGGAAAGGAAAGATCTTCAGCACAAGGGACTGGGAGAGGGAGAGAAGCCAGTGTGGGAGCCCGAGGTGGAGGTGCAGGGGGAGATCCAAGTTAAGTTGGGCAGTGTCTCAGAATCTAGATAAAGATCTCAAGGAATTTTAAAATGATGACAACTGAGAAGAAGCCATTAGGTTTGTGCTCAGAGCATCATTGTACCAATAATGGCTTGGTTTTAGGGGGAGTGTGGTGAGAGGCAGGTGGGAGAGAGTACTGGCAGCACATGTGGCCATACTCTCAGATCTTGAAGGGATGGTGCAGAGGCAGCTCCAGAGGGAAGGTGCATTTAGGGATGTTAGAGAGCAAAAAGGAGGGACTAGTGGGGCCATCATGAGGGGACCAGGAGCCCCAAGAGCATGGTGGAAAGGAAGTCCCTTTTCTGCTTAGATTAGGGGTGCTATCAACGCTATTTTATCTGCCCTGATATTTTCCTCATTCCTGTTCACAGGCTTCATCTGATAACCATTCAAACAACCATTTAAAAAGAAAGAACATGGTAAGATAATCAGAAATTACCAGTGCTGACTAGATTTTTTAGTGTGATAGAATCATGAGACAGTCAAGTCATTATGTATATTCATTATTCATTAGGTGTCCCTATGCATAGTGTATGCTAATTATGTCAGTTGCATGGGTGTGTCTATTATTATTACTCCAGAGTGACCAGTCTGGGACTGATTCACCGACACTCATACTAAGGGCATCTGTGTTCAACCTGGAAATTCCTAGGGAGGAAGTTTTCTCCATCTATGGGAGTGAAGCTGTGGGTATTTTTCTCAACCACCATGGACTGAAGGACTTAGATAATGAGTCCTTTGAGGCAAGCTTTGTTAGAGAGCTGCTGAACACCTGAAAGCTTCCCCAACGTCCTTCTATCCAGGTTGCACTGACCCAGAGGATATCCTCCACGTGCTAAAGCAGCAAACCCCTCTCTGAGTAGAGGACTGAGTGGGTTGCTGAACTTGGTCTCTGCTCATTTTATGTGAGAAGGCAAGAGCCTCCAATGAACTGAGGAGCAACTCTACCCACAGAACCGCAGCTACCCAGGTGATAATAGCCCACTCACTTGTCATACCACTGGGAAAGACAGCATAGTGGCCCAAATGAGACAGAAATCCAGAATGCACAGGAAGGCTTAAGCAGTGGGGCTCATCTTTATTGAGGGTAGCTCACAACTCTGGTAAATGGGCTGGTTTTAAAAAGCTTCCCATTTCCATACAGCTCTGTCTACATTCAGAAAGCCATGAAACATATTGTACAATGAACACTTTCCACCCGAAAAGCATCATGAGAGTTCATAAACTTGTCAATAGAGAATGCAAAAACACTATTTACAACAAGATACAGTAAGTTCAAAATTTAGATTCTGATGATATAATTCTAAAACTAACATTGTATGTTTTTCCAGGTAAGGTCATTATAAAAATATATAAATTTAAAGTCAGAACTAAAACATTCAATCCTATAAAAATATCTTTTACTAATAAAAGTTTCAATTTCTAGATAAACATTCTTTTTCAAAACAGTGACAGTCTTAAATTCTCAAGAAATACCCACTATGTCAGATGGTTCATTTAAAAGACATGTGAAAGGAACTTCAAGGCTCACTTGTCAGCCTGTCTTAGTTTTCAGAGATGGACCACATATGTGATCATGCTGTATATTAGTGGCACGGTTATTCTATAAGACATTAACTCCAGGATCTATCTATTATGAAAGACATTTTATAAAGACAAAGTCTCTAGCTTAGAGAGAGGGTCCTTAGGAGCAGACACCAATTTTGTTAGGATCTGGCTACATTGCACTTTGACATGTCTAACTGGGAAAACCAGTAGTTATATTTTGACCACTATCTGAAATCAGCTCATTCATTTCATTTTGCTTACTCTCCTTTAGGGCATGATTGGGGTGGTTTCTTTGTGTCTGGGCTCTTTTTGATCTGAAACACACTTTCAGCAGCAGGTAGCACAACTCCGCCACATTGAGTAGCATGCAAATCACTGAAGCAGAGATCATAAAAATGGTGAACACAGTTTTCTCTGTAGGTCTAGAGATAAAGCAGTCCACAAGGTTGGGACAAGGATCAATCCCACACTTCAACACCCAGGGCAGGTGGTACCCATTGTACAGGAAGTAAAACACATACATAAAGGAGGCTTCAAAGATGATTCGAAAAAAGATGCTGCTGGTGTAGGTCCACCACAGGGCTCCCTCGATCCGAACCTTCTGCTTTTTAATGTCTTCCAAGTCTTTGAATTCATTTCTCTTCTCTCCTCGTCTGAATTTGCGGGCAGCCTCATGTCGGTAGTAGGCAACGTGCATTGCTACAAGTAGGGCAGGGGTGGAGACAAAGATGAGTTGCAGGGCCCACAGTCGGATGTGGGACACTGGGAAAAAGTGGTCGTAGCACACATTTTTGCACCCTGGTTGCAGAGTGTTGCAGACAAAGTCTTCCTGCTCATCTCCCCAGACTTCCTGAGCAGCCACCACGAGGATCATGACACGAAAGATGAAGATGACGGTGATCCACACCTTCCCAATGCTGGTGGAGTGTTTGTTCACACCCCCGATGAAAGTGTGCAGGGTACCCCAATCCATTGTGTTGCTTTATTCCTAAACAGACAAAGATTAGCAAAGGAAAATTAATGGAAGTTTTCTTTGAATCTTATACAACAGTAATTATTTTAAAAACTGAAGCAAATTTTGCTTACTGCTGGTAGGAGACTTTCTGGTAAGGAGTGCCCAACCTAAAGAATTCAAAGGTTTTTGACCAGAGATAACATTTGGGGGGATTTAAGATCATCTTCATTCAACTGAATTCAGATTTTATAATAGATCGCTGTGTGACATGAATGCAGGAATTCAGGTGATTCAAATTCTTTCCCAGTTCCTGTTGAATCACTGTGTGAATGCATATCACATTAGTTTCTCTTTGCCCAGAGATCACAGAGGGTCCACAGAAGGTTTTAGTGATTAAATGACTTATCCAAGAAAAAAAAATCATTGGAATGAAATAATCTGGTTTACCTGGCAGACTAAGAAGGAAAAGTAAGAAACCAAATACTTACTGGTTTACTTTACAAAAGATATTTATATCTATTTCTAGCTTAAGTAACATTATTTGCTGTCATCATGGGCTCTTAGGAAACCTAATACCATACCTATGGAAAGATCCTCTTCCAAAAGAGAATCATAGCTTTCACTTGTTCTCCCTCATAACCAGGCAATGATGGCCTTCCCTTCCAGCAGATACCAACACACAGGAATTGCAATGAAAGACCCACACTACTGCAGCATGGAGCCTCACTCTCTCTCAGCTCCCTGATTTAACATCCTGCAAGAAAAGAACTTCTTAATGTCCACAGAAACTTTTGCTATAATTCAAACAGATACCTTCTACATTGCCACACAAGACTAAAAAGCTGGTCAGCCATCTCCTTCCAAAAAAAAAAAAAAAAAGATGAATAATGAACAGTGATATTCTTCTGAAAGTGAAAGGCCTTCTCTCCTCAGAAGAATCAGCCCATACAATATGTCATACTCTTTTAGGGGAGGAGGGAGTCAACAAAGTCCTTTTGTCAACCCATCCTAGACTGCCTTGAACACACGTGGAGCACACTGTGGCCAGCTGCTTCCTAGGCTGACCCCCTCACCCACCATGGGTTTGCTAACAGTCACCATCAGACATAGTGTGTCTTAGTGTCAAAATAATGTTTCAGATGACTCTCATGTCATCAGTAAGTTAGCTGTCTTTCCACAGTTCATTTAATAACTCTACCCTAACATTTTACTTAAGGAGTATTTGTATCCCTTAGAAGGAACATCCTTACAAGCAGGATATTCATGCCATACAACAAGGATTCCTAAATGAAACTCAAGGTTAGGCAAGAAGAGTGATTAGCACACCTGCTCCCTGGGGGCCCATTTCTGAAGTGTTGCATCTGTGCATGTCACATTGAGAAAGACACTGGCAGGCTGATGACCCGCCAGAGTGTGGCCAGGTAGCAAAGCTTGGAAGGACTCTTGTAGGAGGGTATACTGAGCGCTCTGGAGCAGTTCAGCCGGAGGACAGTCTGGAGGCACATGGCAGCGGGGGGATTGTTGGATGAAGAATTGAATCCAGAGAGCCAGGCTTTTTTTTTCTTTTTCAATTACAGTTGACATTCAGTATTATTTTATATTAGTTTCAGGTGTATAGGATAGTGGTTAGACATTTATATAATTTAAAAAGTGATTCCCCTGATAGGTCTAGTATCCAACTGGCACCATATATAGTTATTACAAATTATTGACTATATTCTCTTCTCTGTTCTATACTTTATATCCCCATGACTTGTTTATTTTATAACTGGAACTTTGTTGCCTCTTAATCTCCTTCATCTATTTTGACTGCCCCTCAACCTCTCTCCACTCTGGAAACCACCAGGCTGATCTCTGTATCTGTGAATCCACTTCTGTATTGTTTGTTCATTTGTTTTGTTCTTTATATTCCACATATAAGTAAAATCATATGATACTTGTCTTCCTCTGTCTGCCTTATTTGAATTACCATAAATATCTTCTAGATCCATTTATGTTGTTGCAAATGGTAAGATTTCATTTTTATGGCTGAGTAATATTCCATTATAAATATATACCTCAACTTCTTTGTTCATTCATCTGTCAATAGACATTTAGGTTGCTTCCATATCTTGGCTTTTATAAATTAAAACTAGAATTACCTTATGACCCAGCAATTCCACTTCAAAGTATTTATCTGAAGAAATCCAATTCAAAAAGATATATGCACCCCTATGTTCACTGCAGCATTATTTGCAATAGCTAAGATATGGGGGAGGCTTTGCTTCTTAAAAAAAGAAAAACAAAAACAAAAAGCTGAGGAAAATGAAATGATTACACGATGAAATAGGTACAACTCTTAGACATGAATTCTTTGAAGCTGTTGTTTCTCGTCCTGAAAACACTGGCTCAGAGGCTGTGTAACCATTGTCAGGGGTAACACAGTGGGCTCACTGAGGAGGCGTGATCTCAGGCTCTACAGTTAAGCCCTGCCTTCACACATCACTTATTTCATGGCCTAAGAGGTCAATGTTCATGGCCTCATGGTCAATGTTCACATTAAACTTTGATTTAAAAGATTCATTTTAGACAATATGGATTGTACAATTAATGTTTAGTTTCCTATGAAAGTCATTATAATACATTTTTCTACTCTGGAAGCCTTTCAAGATTTGTGGAGGTAGAATCATGTATCATGATGTTTCAACATATTTTACAGTGGCAGTTCCCCCTAGGAGGCCAATCCTGTTTATATGTAAAATGAGATATTCTCTAATTAACCAGTAAACATTTCCCCCTAAGAGTTTGGTTACTAAAGTGCCTAATGAGCAAGTCTTCAATCTATCAAAGAAAAGTCATATTTTCTCAAAATCTCCAAAGTGCACAGAATTTAAACTCCCCACAAGTTTTTTTTTACTTTTTTTTTTTTTAAAAAAGACTATTTCTCTCTGAGTTCTCTATCACCTGTCTGAACAATAGCACACCTGGTGTCACCTGTTACCTTTCCTACTAGGAAGCAAACCAATCAAGCTGCCTGAATGAGGCTGAAGCCAAGGGTTGAGGTCAGCAGGTCACAATTCCCTCACAAGAATATGGTCCTACTTTCTAGAAGCAGGATCCTTGACTTCTGCTCTTTGGGGCTTCTCCTTCTTAAAAAACAGGAACAACAGGGACAGTAGTAGTTTTATTTCTTTTTAACTTCTCTGGGTCCTTAAATCATACACTCTGAAGATGTTCTCCCAAAGTAGCAAAGATGAACAGAAAATAATCTATTCTAAGCCCTGGCTGGCGTAGCTCAGTGGATTGAGCGTGGGCTGGGAACCAAAGTGTCCCAGGTTCGATTCCCAGCCAGGGTACATTCCTGGGTTGCAGGCCATAACCCCCAGCAACCGCACATTGATGTTTCTCTCTCTCTCTCTCTCTCTCTCTCTCTCTCTCTCATCCCTCCCTTCCCTCTCTAAAAAATAATAAAATAAATAAAATCTTTTAAAAAAAAAGAAAATAATCTATTCTATAGCACTTAGTGAGTTTGAAATCAGCAATTTATCTGCACCTTTAAAGGAAGGAAAAGAAATGAAATGCCCAGATCACTATGAAAATGAGTGATCAAGACAATCGATTGGGCGAGAACAAATCACCTGACTAGAGGTATCTTTCTGTAGGATCTACCAAGGCCCTATTACCTATCATGGTAGAAATGACTGGAAAAGGAAGAGCTGTTTTCCAGAGTCGCATCACTCTCCTGCTTTCAGTGAATGTGTGCTAGTGTTTCTTACAGCGAAGCCTTCCCTTTCCATTCTTTTCTTCAGTCTCCATCATTGCTGAGTGCTTCCCAAGAAGCCAGGAATCTGTCCTGCATGTCACTCTCCAAGTGAATGCTAAGAGCAGGAGGAGAGCTGCTCACAGTGTTAGGAGGAGGGTCTGAGAGATGGCCCTGACACAATGCTGCAGTCACAGGCAAGCCCTGCTGCCCTCTGGACACTCTGCCTGCTCCCAACAGGCTGTCAGAGAGCAGAAGATTCTGCAAGTTTAAAAGGAGGCCCTGACTGCACTTGGCCCTCCTGACCTGGCCCTGGGTGGGCAAGGCCACCCTGCTAGGGGAGCAGGGGTACCCCGCTGGCCCTCAGCCTCCCCCTGGGGTGAGCCTTCATAAACAGTGTGGTTATAGGATATTCGAAGGCTGAATACTCTTTGAGAACCACTTTCCAAACTACACCCACTGGGGGACCCTTGTCATTGGTATCAATGAACAAATACGTCTTCTCTTTTAGGCTTTAGATAGGCAGGGCAGCCACTAGGAGCAGCTTTTCCAGAAAAAAAAAAAAAGAAAATATTAACCCTCCCCCTGTAAATCAGAGAGGTTTAACTGACTCCTTTCTGGCTCTCTTTTAAGGAAAGAATAGATACACTTAGCTTCTATAGTTGTCAACGTATGAGAATGTAGTCCCGTTCAAATGTACTAAGGTACACTGTATTCGGATTTGCAGTACATCTAACTATCCACAGTGCATTCTTGGTACCAAAGCTCCAGTCCCAAATATTTACCTCTAAAAACAAGTCAACCATTGACCTTATTTCTGATGATACACACAGTATTATGAAGATAGACTGTTCCTCTCTTTCACAATTCAAAGAATTTAAGTCTATCAACGTTCTGCTTCAGTAATGAAATGTCTTGATTGTTTTAAAATTTCTTATTTAAGAGCTTAATCATAACTAGTTTGCTTGATAGTGGCATTTTAGTTACACTGATGACAGAACCAAAACTGAAGCCCTGAACACCAGTGTCACCCCAGCACATACCAGGATAACCCTTTCAAAGTCAGTCGGCAAATATTTGATAGACTGAAAACAGAGCACACTCTTCACAATTTGCATGTTCGCTTGGAGAGTTGATAAGTTTGAATTGACAAAAGCAGTGATGACACACCTGAGCCTCACTCCCCAGCCTCCTGGCCTATCTGCCAGAGGAGAACCAGGGCACGGTTCCCTCTCCTCGGCACAAGTTTTCTCCTTCTACACCATGTGATTGCCTAGAAGCCAATGTGACACCGTAATGACATGAATATAAACCATTGTGCAGCTTCTGGATGTAGGTGAGAATGTTACCTGTTGAGGGAAAAATAGTGGATGTGGCCATTTTCCCTTAACTCCTCCCATGTGTCTACTGCATGACCTTGGTGGGTAGTTTTTCTTCATCCCCAGAACTGTTATGAGGAAAGTCTGCATACTGCCAGTTTCCTTATGCCCCGTAGTTCAAATCCACAATAAAATAAAAATAAAATCTTTAGTATAGTTTTTTTCCCTACCAAAATAATAATGGCACTACTACTCAAACCTCAAGCTCATTTCCAGAGCATTAAAGAAAAAAAGAAGTAAAGGGAGTTTGAGAAACTGGGTATGTTCCCTTACTTCCAAATCAGTCTTAAAAAACAAAACAATAACAACAACCAAAAAAAAAAAACCCTCAAATTCTCTCCTTAGTCTAGAAGAATCTCTATCTTTTGTCTCTAGAAATCTCAGGTCATCCAAGGGACAAGCTGATAGATGGTTTTTAAGTTAATGACTCAAAACTTCATCAACTGTCCTTTCAAAGTAATGGCCAGTGACAAAATGGATTTAGGGTTTATGTATTTCTTCAAAATTATTCAATAAAAATAAAAATGTTTTTCTGTTTTTGGAGTCTAACTACAAAATAAACAGTTCATATAATTACATGTATTTCTTAATCCATTTAAGAACTCAAAGAGTTAAAAAGAATTTCTATTAATTGGTCTCTGTTTTTCAAACACTTAGATTTATCCAGAGTAAAATGACCCTGGGAATAAAAACAGAAAAGGCCACCTGGGGACTCACTCATTCTAATCGATCAAACAAATAAAACAGAAACCTTCCCATATGATAATGTCACTGTGGGAGGGATCATGCCTCATGGACCAAGAAGCTTGGGTAGAACATTGCCTCCCCCTCCCCCATACAAACCACTCATGGCTCATGGACTAATTTGACAGTGTCAGAGCTACATGGTGAGATTTGCAAGTTAGAATTTTCCTGTGACCCTGCTGAAATTGTTTAGTCAAACCTTCTAAAGTTCTGTTCTGCCCTAATGCTCTTACAATTCAGCAGAGGAAAAAGTTAAAAAAAAAAAAAAAGACAGAGAGAGAGAGAGAGAGAGAGAGAGAGAGAGAGAGAGAGAGAGAGAGAGAACAAGACACTATTACCCAGAGCTGATTTTGTTTTATAATAAAACCACCAGTGAGACAGCTGGGTTGATGAGGGTCTTCTGGGTTTTAGACAACCCACCCAGTTATGTCACAGGCTGGAGTGTTGATATTCTGGCTCCATAACCCCCTCTCCCATCCTTGGCAAAGTTCAAATAACACCCCCAAAGTCTCAGCCAGATCCAGATCCAAATCCAAACAACAGACAAAGCTCTCCACAGGGGCAGTTCTGAACAGCATCCTGCATTCTAAGGAAGCTGCCCTGTGGCAGGACATTTTGTGTTAGATTGTGTTAGAATGGAGGCAAGAAAACACTTGTATGGCATCAAGGCCACTGAAAGAAGAGAACAACGGTGCATGGTTAAATTCAAGCAAGCACTAAATTCACAGCAAGGTTCCACTCAGGGGACAAGGAGGTTGCTGCCCCCGTGTCCCTGCAGTGGCTACTGGTCCCCAGCCCCTCCAGGTCTAAAGCTTCTTTCAGGCCACACTCACCTCAGACTCAGTCCTGCTCTCCAAGAAGGGAGACCAGCCCAGTCAAAAAAGCACGCGATGGCGGGACTGACTGTTCTCCCAACAGGAAGTACCTTCTGGTGCTTCCACCTTTTAACTGAGATGTGTCACCAATAACAATTACTGTTGTCCAGTAATTGTCCCATAATTGTATTATTGTCATCTGCGTTTCACAAGTTCCTCAGGTGCACATCACACAGCCATACGGGTCAGTTCTACGTGGACTTATGGACTGGCCAGGCGTCTCCTGGTTTTCTGTTCCCCAGATCTGAGCGGGACTTTGTCAGAAGACAAGCCCAAACGCTGCAAAGGAATTGGGGAAAGGGGCACCGGTAGCCATCCAGCCACGCAGTTTGATGCATTCATAAACCTGTTGTGCAGGTCAAAGGGGACCATCTGCGGTATAAGACAAACCAAACCAGTCTGTCCTGGTTCCTCCAGTGCTCAGGGGACCCGGGAGGATGCGGATCCTGGATGATAAGGTCGCGCGCTGACACCCACTCGGTGGCTATAGGGCCCGCAAGGAGCGGTCGCCGCCAGCCGGGCGACTGGGAGAGGAGGGCAACAGGCTGGCGACCCTCCTCTGGGCTTCTCCCGGGATGGGCACTCCTTCGCAATCACCCCGCACCCAGTCCTGCTTACCTTCTCGCAGCGGTGTGGGTCTGGGCGCGGGTCCCGGTGCTGAGTTCCGGGCGTAGCTGCGCCCTCGCTGCGGCGGGTCGGGCGGACTGGCCGGTGTCTGCAACCTGCAGTCGGCCGGCCCCCCACCTGCGGCGCTTTTTAACCGCGCCCCACCCCGCCTCTGTCCCGACGCTCCTCAGAGCTCTGAGAGGCGAGCGCCTTGGCCAGCAAGGGCCCGCCCCAGGGCGCGGGGCGCAGGACAGGCCGCCCTCGGTGGGGGTGGGGAAGGAAGGGATGGGAGTGAGGTGTGCAGGGTTGGGGGTGCAAGACAGGCCTTCCTGTGGGTCGTGGGAACGCTGGACGGTTTGGGGGGTGCACGGGGCCCAGGATAAGACCCTCCGTTTGAGGAGCCAAGTGCACGGGGAGGGCAGGGCAGGGCAGGGCAGGACTCTCGCCCCCCCCCCGCGTCGGGGCACAGGGGGTGTAGGGTAGGTCCTCCCTAGAAGGCGCGGGGCACATCGGGCCGGCCTGGTCCCTGGCGTGAGGTGGCCCGTGTCTCCTGCTGAATGGCTCCTCACTCAGAACCCGGGTGCCTGGGAGAGAGGGCCTAGGTGAGTGGGCCCGCCCCCTATGGAGAGGCTTCCAACCCAGGACCCTTTGGGATCAGGGTTAAGGGCTGGCTGTGTTTGCCAGGACACATTGTCCTTGTTTTCTGGACACTGCCAACCTCTTGTAGATCGCGGGTATTCTTAAAAGGCCCTCTCCAGAAGAGCAGCCTGGAGGCACAGTGACTGGTGTTTTCTATTAATGAATAACCACTTAGAGGAGTTAAAGGGTTGTTTTTATGAGTTACCTCCATACTTTGAAGCCTCCCCTAGGGGAAGCAGAGTGGGCCTCCCTCAGGTCCCCCAACCACTACCAGAAGACCCTTGCCCTGCCCCTTCATAGACAGGGCTCTGGTGACCAGAGTGGGCATAGGGGCTTGGTGCAGGGGCCCTTGGTGCAGGGGTGGAAAAGTGGGAAGCTATTTAGGGACCTGGCTTTACAGGTTCAGACCCATCCTTCTCTCACAAAATTGGTTGGTAATTAAAGGTGCCCTCTCCTAAACCATATGCTACTTGTTAGGCCATATTATTTCATGCGACAGGATTAGTGGTGGTTCTTAAGATGTCTTGTTAGGGTTGTGAAAGAAGGCCCGAGACTTCATGAAAATCCACCGTATGAAACATTTTATTAGAGGAGAACAGGTTCTCGGCAAATTGCTTGAGTCAGGTCAGTTCAGAGCACTTTGGGGTGGCACTTGGAATGGCCTTTCAGGTAGGGGTAGAGAGATACAAAAACCTGTTTTAGGCTTTTTCATTAGACAGACCTACTGCCTTAATGTGGCCTGTGCCTTAACTGTTCAGCCAGCCTCAGGTTTGGCTGGTCCTCTTTGGGCCCCCTGCCCCATGTGGCATCTTTCCTGTCTTCTTCCCATCACTTTGCCCCCCAAACACTCCAGCCAGGCACATCTGTTTGCATAGCAAAATAAGACCTTTTAAAAAGCAGACTATATTCTTCTCTGGGGATTTTAAACAGTTGAAATCTTTCTTTGCATTCCCACAGCACCAGGTGAAGTGCTTTGCACATAGGAGGTGCTGCTCTGTGAGTAATTGCATATTGATTGCAAAACCGAGCCAGCATAGCAGAAAATCCTGCAAACAACTTTGCTTCTGATGCAGGACTGTCCATGGCTTCATGCCTACAACTGGTGCTATGCAACACTGTCTTGAGCAGTGACATTCAGGACCAATGGACCTTGTTGCAGGACCCATCCAGAAAAGAGCTTTGAATCAAAGTAGCTGTATTTGCTTGGGTATCCAAAAAGGGAATCTTCTCAACACTGCAAAAACATCTCTTTTCCTGTTCAGGTTATCAATACTAGTCCCATGCTTCTGGCTTCTTATTTTAATCACATGTTTCTCAACATTTAGTCCCAATACTCATTGTTCACTTCTCATCAGATGATCCTGTTGCAGCAGAAATTAGATATGGACTATATGAAACTTACTGACATGTTGAGATCATGTAAAAACTGAAAAGCTAATTAAACGTTTTATGCTAATGAAATTCAAAGGCATCTAGACTGTTAACTGCATTGTTGACTTTGAGTGCCAGACATGAAAAAACTTTCCAGAGATGATTACTGTCCACTTACTGTTACATAATTCCCAAAACAAGACTTTTGTAGTCTTGGTTCTGATTGGTGACCTAGAATTCTTTTGATTGATATCTTCCCTCTGCATCTGAAGGATGATTCCTGAGTCCATACATTCAATCAGCACAAAATGTGTGAAGGGTGGATTTCCCATTGCCATACCAAGAAGTTTGAAGGGATGATGGTAAGATTCCCTTCTGGAAATCTATAAATTCTCAGTGCCTTTACATAAGGAATGAAGGAGACTCCACCTCTTCCCCCATTGGCATGGACACACACTCACAGAGTGTGACTCACAGTCCAAGATGGAAACACAGCACAGGGACTCTTCCTTGTAACTGACATAGTCCTGGACATATGGAAAGAAAGAGAACTGTGTGCTCCCTTTAAACAAAGATGAACAAATGTCTATTCATTCAACAACAGCAACAAAAAGCCTGTACTGAACAGGCCTGTAGGCTGGGCATGTGAAGCAGAGTGTTCCTGTCTTAAGTTTTCTAGTTGGATTTTCAAATCTGTGTGCAAAGGTCATATGAGATGCTTTGAAAAGCTAACACAACACTACACAAGTTGGTGGGAATCAAGTTTTGTGGGTCTTGCTTGGGGGAGCCCAGAAACTCATTTTTATCAAGTACCCTAAGCTTTGCTGATATGGGTGGTCTGAGAACCAAACTTAGAAACATGTTAGTTATGGATGTTCTTTACTTTTTAACATTTTTAAAGTAAAAATACATATAACCTAAACTTACATATTTAACCAAAGGTGTTCGGTACATTCACAATATTGTGTAGCCATCACCACTGTTTAGTTCTAGAACATTTTCAGCACCCCAAAAGGAAGCGTGGTATCCATTAAGCAGTTACTCTCCATTTCCCAGCCCCTGGTTAACTACTGATCTGCTTTCTGCCTCTATGGATATTTCTATAAAAGGCATCATACATATGTGGCCTTTTGTGTCTGGCTTCTTTCCTTTATCATAATGTTTTCAAAGTTCATCATCCAATGTGTAGTCAATACTTTGTTCCTTTTAATGGATGTATAAAATGGCACGTGTTTATACCACATCTTGCTTATCCATTCATCTGTCGGTGGACACTTTTGTAGTCATGGTTGTGATTGGTGGAGTGAAACTCATTTGACGGATGAATTCTGAGGCATGTGGCAGCTGGGATTAATGTGCTATGTCCACATGACGGAGGAGACCAGCTGGCCTGTCTGGAATGGGGGGCTTGCTTAGGGGAGGAGATGGGCAGAGTGGTCAGGCAGGGCCAGAGTGGAGCCGCTGTCAGTTAGGAAGAGGAATTTAGACTGGCTGAGAAATAAGGAGAGGGAGCACAACACCACTAGGTGACTGGATCTGGCAATTTTAATTAATCCATTGGCAGTTAGTGTGATGGGACTGCCTAATAGCCATTGTCATTTTGGGTGCTGTCAGTAGAAGTTCCATGTCTCATGAAGGTGCATGCTTTTTCTCTGCTGTCAAAGTTGCCAGCTCCTGTGTAGGATGAGCTGACAGCTCTGGAGCCACTTCCCCCTGACTTTTCTAACTTCTAACTTCCTGAGTATTAATTTACTATCTAAGCAGGAAACACAAACAGCAAACAGAACAGTGAGTTTATATCAGAGGAGGAGTCTGCTAGAGGCTGAATGACCCGCAGGTGCTGTCTGGATAGGGGTTGGATTATGTGGTTTTCCTTTCTCAGGAAACACCAATGACATAGTTACCACTGGGGAAGGGAAAAGCTGAGTCAGACATTTGGTTGGTTTTGAGCCTGAATGACATAGAAAAGAATCACAGAAGAGAAGAGGGAGAGAGAAATGGGAGATTTCAAGGAATTACCTCATAATTGCTCATTTTCTCTTTCTTTTTGCTGTGGCTGACCAATCGAATTTCTGCAGGGTCAGCCATCAGGCTGGAGACCCAGGAAGAATTTATGTTGCAGCTCGAGTCCTAAGGTCATCTGCCAAGCAGAATTCTGCGCCACCCTTTTGGGAGACATCAGTCTTTTCTCTGAAGTCTTCAACTGATGGGTGAGGCCCACCCAAATTATGGAAGGTAGTCTGCTTTACTCAAAGTCTACGATTTTAATTGGGAGTCACATCTAAAACATACCTTCACAGCAACAACTAGACTCATGTTTGGCCAAACATCTGAGTACCAGCCCAGCCAAGTGGGCACATAAAATTAACCATGACTGGTGGGTTCATTCTACTTCCTAGCTGATGATTCCTACCATGTGCAAAGCTTTGGGGACCACCAGGGTGGACAAGGTCACTTTTCCTTCAAGGGGCTTTCAGTGGAGCTGAGGAGCCAGTCAGTCGACAGCAAGTGCAGTGCCCATGAGGGCTGTGAAAGCGCAGCCTGAGCAAAAAGCACCACAGATTGGCCAAGGACATGAGAACACAACAAGGGTTTCTGAATAAAGAAGAGACTTACTAAGATCCTAATTTTGTGTGTAATATGCAAGTATAAATGAACTGCCACAAAATGTTAACAATTACCTGTTATCAGTTTTAAGTGATTTACAAGCAATTTTAATTCCCTCTAATGAATATGTGATACATTTATTGTAAGAAAAATGAAGATGAAAGAATGAACTAGAAGAAGCTAAGGATATTTGAAGTTAATGACTTTTCTTCCTCTTTTTTAAAAAGAAAATAGCAAAGACCATTTGGAGGCATTGGTCTGTGAGTGCACATTCTGGAAAAGAGGTCACCCCCTGACAAGGAGTCAGATTAACTAAAATGCCTCTTTTTAGAGCAATGGATTGTATCTTGTTTTGTTGTTTACTTTTTTCTTGACCTGTCTCCAAATCCTAAATCTCATGATATGACAGTTTCAGCATAAGGATATTACCAATAAAAGTTTTTTGAGTTGAGGGCATAGAGGTAGGAGTTAAAGAATTTAGCATTGCATATTAGAATGCATTGTGAATAAACTGACATGAATTGTGATAGTAAATTAAAAACAGACAACATATTTTAAGTGTGCTCTCAACTCTCCCTATTAGTTTCCAGGTGCATGTTTCGGATCAGTTACTTCTACC